CCAAAATATCGAATTAATGATCTCAGGAAGCTTGCAATATTTGTTAAAATTTCGGTGATCTGTTCAAGTCATTTCAATGAATATATAATGCGAACGACTTCTGATCTTAGAGAATCCGTAATTTCAACATTCCCAGCATTAAATCACGTTTTACTGCAGAATAGAAAATTGGCTTTGTGCCCTTTATTATCCTTTTCACGGTCTGTTCAGATTGAAAAATAAAACAATATTTTAAGGGAAATATCTTTTAAGTGAATGGTTAAATCACATTTGATGGAAAACTGTTTTTGAGTAATCCATCTGCATAACCGGAAGAGTTATACAGCAGATTGGAAATGTTAAGAAAGCTTGTCCTTTTATAGTTTATCACCTTTACTAGGTAGAAGAAGGAGAGAGAGAAAGAGGAGGAAGAAGAAAGATAAGTCGTTTAAATGCACTTCTCACACATTCTTGATAGGTTAACAAATTCATTAATGAGAAATTCCGCAAAAATTTAATTGATTATTGACATTGTTTCAAGTACAAACATAAACCTGAAGGTAATCGATAATTATAATTCATTTCAACAACATTTCATCTTTCTAGGGTTGCAAAATTACAGTTGTAATGCAACAGTTTTTTCAAAAAGGAATTATTGCATTCCAAATAAGAAAAAAATTGATTGCAAATATAGCTGGGCGGAATATTTTTCTTTTTGTGCTGAATGGTAGAAGTGAGTAGGAGAGAAAAGGGAGGAGGAAGGGTTGTAATGAAGTGTATTTGTTGAGGAAGAGAGGCATTAATTCAAATGGTCCAGGGATTATTAGCCTTTTTTTCTTTTATTTTTCAAAATGTGTTGGAATGAAGGAAGAAGGGGACGATGGCATTCAATGATGCCATTTTTTTCTTTTTTTCTTATTCCAAGCAGTCATATGCCAACAATTTTTCCAAGATAGTTTCATGAAGTAACAGTTAGCAGTGACGTAAAAGAAGAGATGGGCATGAAAAGGTATTTTGAAACTTTTGCTTATTTAATCTCTTTCATATTTACAGTATCATGTGAGTATTAATCCATTTGTTTAGAAAGTTGTATCAATCTTTTTTTGTTCTTTTTTTCCGCCGGCAATTACGTCACATCTAAAATGATATTTGTTTGAGTCGGATTGAATTGTTTGAATTTCTAAAATTCTATTTGCAATACTTTTACAGTTACTTTTACTGGGTAATGAAGTTTGAATGTCAAGAAGCATGTTAGATTGTTGAGGACAGAAGATGTAGCTTTTTTGTTTCAGTAGTTTTAATTAATTAAAATTTGGAGTAATGTGACACCGGTGATTTTTTTGTGATTGTCTTAGTGAACCATTGCTAGAAAATGAAAAAATAAGGTATAGAATAAACAGGCTAAGTTGTGCTGGAGATGCCAATAATCTCGAGCATAATACTTGGAGCTATGAACTCTTAATTGGCTAGTTTAAACTTTCGCCTTCGATTCTTCCAAACATAATTTCGATATTTTGGCACAAGAGTTCTAACTTGACTTTTAAATTTGAATTTAAATTATAATCGCCCTTATGTTGTAACTGTGGCATTCTGAAATGTGTTTTTCTGTGTTTAGAAGTATGGAAATGTTACAGGTATTATTAATAATATTAATTAATCATTAAAAAGCAAATATCCGAGTGCCAGTAGAATTCATTAGTAGAAAAAATGGTTATTGGTCGCATGATTAAGTGGCACCAAAAGGATCGTAAAATTTTTGTTGCTGCCACAAGTCACCGATATGTGTTGAACCGTCCCATCGATGACGAGACGACGACGATGACTGTCACTAACGTAACCCAATCTCATGTCGCCGTAGCAGTCGCCAAATTTTGTCCTTTCTATCAGTTCGTCATTATATGACTTATGACTTTTTCGTCGTATACCTTATCATCTGTAGACAATCTCTTACAACCATTTAAAACTAGATTGATCGATTTGTCTGCAACCGGAAAGAGAGAAACCGGAGATGGTCGTTCTTTCAGGGTGGGCTGTTAAGCGAGCTAAGAGACACTTGTAAACGACATCGTTTTCCATCCATTAATTCTATTCGTTTGTTTTTTCATGCCATTTTTTCCTCACCTCTTAGACAAATCATTCCTGTTGTTGCACTGTCGACAGTGTTCTCTTTTCATTCAGTTTTCTTGCAACAATTGCCCAAGTCTTGATAAAATGTTACCTTAATTCTTACTATTTCCTTTATTATTTCTGGGCAGACTTCTAGAAGCATCCGGTATGTAGAAAAACTAATAGCGGCTAATTTGCATATTTTGGGTTGGGTGGATGAGTTATTGAAAATTTACATATTAACTCTTTTCTAACCTCACATATGGTGATTTCAATCTAGTTTGGCTATTGGTCGTGTCACTTTGTTTATTCTCCTTTTTCACGTTTCGGAGCTCCTTTTAGTATGTAAAATTTTCTTTGTTTTTATGTAATTAAATTCTGCGGAGTTCCATTTGCGGGAAATTGCCGCCACTTATTCTTATCTTTCCGATGATAATTTAGGCAACCGATAATTGAGTTCTTGACCTGTTAACATCCCTTGTATTATTTCAACTTTTATTTTGTCACCATTACTCCTTTCAAAGAAAATTTTTTTTTAAAATTAAAATTTAGTGTTAAATTTTTGGTTCATTAAAAATTTAGTGCTAAATTTGAATTAAAATTTAGTGCTGAATTCTTGGTGAGCTTAATACCAATTTGATTGATGAATTCTGATCCAAAATTTCCCGTACAAAATGAGTTCCTCTTGCCCTACAATGTACGAAATAGTTCTGGGGGGAACTGAAGGCGCTGAAGGATTGTTTTGTTAGCAGACGTGTCTGGTGAAAATGCCGCCTCACTCTTAATACCTAACCTTTCTTCTTTTATGGTCTATCCTAATTTATTTCTTACCCATTTTTCATCTCACCAATCAGTCTAATCAATGAAGGATGACCTAAGTGAAAAGGCTAGCAGCGTCAGTCCATGTGGCTGTGCTGCGCATTTGGTATGGGCGTTGGCGTTGGCGTAGGCATAGGCATAGGATTCCAGTAGAGGTGGGAAAGCGTATTGTACAATGAGTTCGCATTAGTTTCGTTTTCTTCATTACTTTGATTTTTAATTTCTTCTTCATATCATTTCCCCGCCCATCGTTTTGTCGCCCCGCTTTGTCATTACTTCTTGTTGCTGTTGTTTGGATGTGATTAGCTGATGGGGACTGTTAATGAGGCGGTAAAATAAATGAAATGGAGGAGCAAATAAGAAATGTATGTTATTTCATATTTATGAAACATTAATATATGCGCTTTCACTTGAATAATTAAGAGAAATTAGTGCTTTGGTTCCGGCACAGCATTAATAGCAAAATATTAATGCTGGCGTATTGCAAGTAGTTCGAATTAGCATTTAGTTTGTTGATGTTAATTCAAATAACATTTAGTAAAATATGTTTTCATTTTGGTTAAAGAACTTTCCCACCTGGCGATGTTTAATTCTGCTTTTATGATTTGTGGCCTAATTTTTTAATTCGAAGATTTCTTTTTTTCATTCTTTGAACAGTTCCATATTCTTCTGACTTTAGTAGATAATTTCGTGTATATTAATTTTCGATATCTACCAATCATTTTCAATTTCAATTATTCAGTTATTAAAGTCTTTATGCATTCTTTTTGTTCAAGTTTAATATTGTTCAAATTTTTAAATATTTCCGGATTCAGTCAAACACCAAATATTGTTATGTTTTATAAATTAAAAACTAAAGTTACGTCACTGCTATCACATACTCTCAAACCATTATGCTTTTACACATGATGTCTCGTATTTTTCTACACGTTGTCGTAAAGTTTTCAGAGTTTGTCCAGTATATCTCAATTGTATTTTATAAAGTGCTCATTTGATACAAACTGTATCAGTGATTTTTTTTCATTTTTAAATAAATTTATTGGAAATTTAATGGTTAGAGTGGATTGGGGATTTCGCCAACTAGTATTTAACAAATTAAATTTTATAATTAATTAAACATAAAATTTTCATTAGATAACATCACTCAACTTTATTATTCATTTGTGCACTGATTTTATGTTATAGTTATTTGTTTAATTATTATTTTTTCTGTAATTTTGCACTTATTTCTGCAATATATCTTCAAAATTGCAAATTGATACATTTCTATTTTTTCACTTTTCATTTGATTTGCGTTATATTGGTAAAACAGTAACAATGGGTAGCAATTTGCCGTATCAATTAGTACTTGTTAACTTTTGCTCCTAATTGATGTCTAACTTGACATATCATTGTTACACATTTCTGAGTTACATATGACTTCTTGATGTGACAAATCTGAAGGTTTAGATGGATGGAAGATATGAAATAAGTATTCCTTCTTAACATCTTATCCATATCAAAAAATTATCTATTTATGATCGAGTCGTTCGGTACGATTTCAAATTCAAATTTTCATTTATTTGGATTAAAATGTTTTCCAAGAGACCGGAAATTAAAAGACATTAAAGGGTTGGGCTCAGTTATTGAAGAAATTCTAGTCCTTTTCATGTCTAACGGCAAATGATTATTTCTGATCTGTTTGAGAAGGAAAAGGGAAAGAGGAATGTCATATTCATTGCATTTTATTCATAGTGTTTTAAAAAGCGTACCTTCCTGAACACATTTTTTTTCCACTTCCTAAGAATAGTGCAAAAATTTCAATAAATTACACAAGTGCTTAATGCTTCTTTCAATCTAGATCACCTAAATTTTAAGCAAATTTAATTCGACTTAAGACTGAACATTCAAAATTATAAATACTCTGTGGTATATTTGATTCGTTTTTTTTTTTTTTTTCCTTTGTAGTTTTCCAATTAATTCATCACCTTATTCGTTGTTCATCATTTCTCGACGTTGAAATACAAGTATTAGAGAGCATTAGTATTCATAATTTCGGTTATATCATTTCAGTTATAGTTATTATATTGTTGCATCACTATCAAAACCATATAACGATGTTGCCACAGTCGATGAAAAGATCGAGACATATTCGTTCAATTGATGACATTCCAGTGGAAGTATTGCTCATGATTTTTAGACGGTATGTGGTTTTTATTTTGATCTAGCCTATATATATATATATATAAGAATTGAAGTAGATAAAATTAGAAAAATTAAATTAGGGTGAATTACAACCATTTAATTCACAAAAAGCTAAGTATATTCATATCGCTTCTTAAATTCTCTCGTTTAACTGCAGTTCATGATTATTATAAATTCAAGAAGTTAACCTTTGAGATATCCATTAGTTCCACAATATGTCAGTTCTTTCCTGCTTTTTCTTTTTTTTTACGCTATTGACGTCATCATTAGAAAGTGCTTTCTAGAAAGCCTCATATTCCTAATATAGATGATATCATATAATGTCTAAAGGAAAGAAGACAATTGAAATGTTGATTAATGAAGGCGAAAAAGACGAATGTTTATAACAACTAGGATATGTTTTATTAAAATTTTATCTCGAAAAAATTGATTGTTTTTTGTTTGTTTTTGTTTTTGAGTTCATTTATATTTGCCACTCTTTTGCTTAGCAATGGGCATGGAATTAATGAGGATGGAAATTTTTATAGCTAATTTCAAATAGAATAATTTCTGTCATAATATTTTTATAGCAATAGACAAGAAACAGTAATTGATAGATTGTTTATATAATGAAACTAAATCTCTATAATCATAAACTAGAGCAAGTGATAAGAAGTGTCACAACATTTTTGTCTTTTTAATTTAAACTTAATATAACATTTTAAAAGAGGATTTAATTTTAGATGCGAACCACTGGCTTGTTTTCGAGCTCGTTTAGTTTGTCGCCGCTGGCGTACTGTAATTGACAAAATGGATAAAGAAAGTCGTGAAGCAATTCTTGGCGAAGGACAAGCCCGTTTGTATATATGCGATCGACGACGGTACGTCTATGTTTTTGTTTCTTATGGATTTTGTTGGCTTCTTCGACGTCCGCCATTGAAGCCAAGGTCGTATTGGCCGGACTGCGTCTGGGAAAACCATTGCATCATTCTTGTATCTATTTGTAGTCTTCTGTGAGTGTGTATTGTAATGGACATTTTGATATGCATATCGTATACCCATCAATTCTTCCCCTTCTTCAGAGCCATCCTAGAAAAGTTCAGCAGTCTTCCGTCATGTTCCAACTCTGTCACTGAGCTAATAACAGCACGTAAATCCGTTTTTCATGCGGATTGCTACGCACATACTGCGTTCAATAACTGGACCTATCGTTTCGACATGACGGAATGGACACGTAATTTCGATATCATTGAGGTGAATTTTCAAAATATTGCAAAAAAATATACTTAAGGGGAATTTCAGTGGATTTGAGGATCTTGATATTTAAATAATAACTAATGTTGGAATTTCACCTTCACGTTAACATCAATTTAGAATGAGATAAGCAGAGAGATAGGACTGATCTGTGAATATGTATTTATGAGCTGTTTGCATTACACAGTAATTGTAACCAATCTGCCGTAAGAGAGTCGTTGGTAATATGCAAAAGAGTGAAGAAGAATGTTTGGCATTCAGTTCGTTCGTTGGATGGCAACCATAAATATCTTTGCTATATACTTTTGAAGGTCGTTAAGTAATGAGTGCAACGTGTTTTTTAAATGTCTCGAGAATTGTAAGTTCTTGGAGTTTTACAAGAATTAATGAGTAGCATTCCTGATACATTTTGTATTTTTGATATAGGCTCGAAAGTAAATAAAATAGACTAAAGAGATCCTATAATATAATAAATTCGGGGATTTGAACAAGATTTTTTGACAGGATGATGAGAATAAATTTCAAATATTAATGACAGAATAAGTTTCCGATATTAATATTCGTGGTCAAGGAAAGCTGTTAGGAGTGCTGATATAGGATAATATGCTTTGATAGTTAACTGCTTGATTAAGCCATATTTTTTTTTTTATTTTTCTTTATGCTTAGTTGATCTTTTATCTGCATCTATGATTTGGTTGACACTGTGTTGATGCAGTAAAAGATGCCATAAAAAATATTTTTTTTTTAGTTTTATGATAGGAAAACCCAAAATTCCTTGAAATCAAATTACCTTGTAAGGTTTTCTGCTTTCTTCATGCATATGCCAGGTGTCCAGGAAATTAGATTTTCATCCATTATTTTCTTTCCTAGTTTTCCTCGGAATCCTTGTAATTCTGCATATATCATCATGCTATTCCCATCATTTATGTGATGGCAATCATATGATTTACAAAAGTGTTACAAGTAGTCACGGTGTTCTTGTTTATTTATATATTTTTTCGCAGATTCACCGCTATCTTCGTTACTGATTTCTATGCTTCAGTTGTTCGACTATTCTATAGTTGGTTTCTTTATCTGTTTATTTCATTATCAGATTTTTTTCTCAGGTGTGGGTGCAAAATTTTGGCGCTTTTCTGGAACGTGACCAGGGATGTCTAATTTTTGATAATGCAATAGCTCTTCCGGCGTTATGCAATCAAGCAGCAAATATTAATTCAGAAAATAAAATTTCTTTCAGTGCTGTATGTTTTTTATCATTTTGTCTCTAAGCAAGCATTTTATACTGTTATTGTATTGCTTCAAATATTCTCTACAATCGGATGAAAATATCTCTATTTAAATATCTACACTGGCATGAATATAAGTAAAAAAGTTTTTAAGTGCAAAGATAACTTTATTTTATGTTTCGTTGGCAGCAATAGTACTATATATATATATATTAATCCCATGAAAGATGTAATTTGTGGTTTTCGTTTTATTAAAGATGTAATGAATTTTAAGTCTTCGCCCACATCTCGTGCATCATCGCAATCACCACATGCTTACCGAAGTGGTGGAAGTTCATCTGGATCGTTTTCATACGCTGCCAGTGTGCCATATAATTTACTTCCGTCAAGTCAGAAGAAATCTCAGATTATACCTAGCGTTGCATCCACTGCTATATTAAGCGAAGTAACATTTGTCAAAACTTACTTTGTTTAATTTTGGGTTCTTTTTCTAAATTACAGAATTTTTAAATTTTTTTAAAACCTTGATCATGCTCCCAATGTCATCAAATTTGGATTCGGTATTTTCATATATATATATATATATATATACTTCTAATCATCTTAATCCATGTATCATCGTCAGCTGAACTGTAATTTATTTTGATTTGAAATGATTGTTTAATTTATACGGGCAATTTGATTAAGTTTTAGAGTATGAGCGCTGAATTAACGAGACTTTCTGACGGACGTTTTGAGAGACTTGCTGAGCAATTGCACCAAATTCATCCACTTCATCTGATTTTCCATGATCTGTCATGGTATCAGAAAAGACCGACATTGCTTTTGTTTTGGTTTTTAAAGAAGTAAGTTTGGAAGTTAGATTTGGATAACGGTGGTAATTTAAGAGGAATTACTTATCAATAACGGATGGGCATTTCCTACGTGTTACAATGTATTTCTCAAATCAAGCCTTCGTTTTTCGACACATCATGTTTCACCATTACCAATAATAGTCTTTTTTTCTAGGTTGCCAAACTTACGTCGTTTGACTCTTCATTCAGTTCGAGGCGACCAAATGATCGAGTTACATAGGGTCTTCTGTGTAGATGGAATTGATGAATTGAATATTATTCAACCGGTAAAGGCTTTAACATAATCAATTGAATATTATTCAACCGGTAAAGGCTTTAACATAATCCACTCTTTATTGTCTTAATTTTTGTTTTTATTCTTGAAATATTTTCTGGAAAATGGAAGTTTATCTTTATTATGATGTAATTAGGGCACAAGCTAAAATTTCAGACTTATAATGCATGCATTATTGTTAATGAAGGCATTTTCGATGCATTTCTGCAAGTAAACAGTCCAATACGTCGAAGATTCCGTTTGCGCATCACTGGTAAAACTGACATTAATGCTTCCACTCTTTGCAATTTCATCCGTGTAGGTTATTTTTCATTTAGATTATTCCAAGATGTCCTTAAGTCAATTAAAAAATTCCAAATATTTTAACTAACGATCTCAACCCTGCGAGGGGTAGTTCTTTTTCTGCTATTCGTAATTATTTGTTTAACTTGCTGTTAAAAAATGGAAAGTCATTCATATAAACTTATATACTATTTAACTACAATTAGTTACTAGTAACTGCAACATCTTAAAGTTGCTTCTTGAATAGATTTCTTCTCTAGACAACGTGGAATTAATTAGGCATCGTAATCATTTGAAAAATTAGCATCAATCTCTTTTTCTCAAAAGTTTTGGATAAAGCGTCTTGAATGAAAGCATATTTAAAATGTGAAGTTGAACTGCCAGTTTTTTTTAGAAATGGCGAAACCATCGAGAAATCGTACCATTCCATAGCATTCTCATTGATGAAGCATGTGTTTCATCATCGGAATTCGTTCATGCAACAAAATGTCCAGGATGTAGTAATTGCGGTGGTGAGGTTGGTTTTTAGGTTTTTTATTTAGTGACATATAAACGGATGATATTTTGCAGTATAACTTAATAATATTTCATTTGCTTTAGGTTCTACGACATAAGTCAAACGGTACCACCTGGAATACCAAGCAACTTATTTTCCGACATCGTAAATACAATGTTTGGATTAATTATAAATCTGAGAGCGGGTATGTCTAATTTAATCAATAGAAAGATCATAATTAAATAGTGTCATTTGATGCTGCTTAGATGAATGCTTTCTGTATTCCTAGAAGTTATAGTATGTTAGTGTCTTATTAAAAGAAACTGGAAGAATTTCTTATTGTAATTATTTTTGAAATCTTTTTGAAATGAAAACCATTAATCTACCTATTTATCGTTTATAAAATACATCACCATCTATTATGAATAATTTTTTTCTAGATATCTTATATTCACCTATTACAATCCTAAAGACAGCAACCATTTTACGGTGAAAACAGTGGAACCCGAAAGCACCGTTGTTTCATTCTACTCGTCTGCACCAATATCTCTAGAAAAACCGGAAGAAAGTGATATAGCTGATCGTACTTGGTCACTATTCAAGAAACCAGCGACTGCTGTAGATGAATTAACAGTGTTACAACGAATCTTCGCTTTGATTAGAAGCAGTGCTTAAGAAACGAGATTTTCGTTATTGCCGTCTCATTTCATATTCCTTTTCTTATATGTAAACAATTACGAATAGTATTCCATTTATAATAGTATTATTTATTTCAAAGTGTTTCTGACAAAATGCTCACCTTTTGTTTTGTTCAATCTTTGCTGCACTTCTGAAATCAGTGCATGAACTGTGCGAATAAGATTTAGTTTTTTTCTTTTTTTTTTTGCAGCTTATTTTTTGACAGCATCATTTAGAAAAACGACTGGATAAAAGCTCCTTCAGGATTTATAGATAAGATTTGGTAACATGTTCATAAATTGATTAAGTGGCGTCGACATGAACTTAGTTGACACAAAGTTTTGATGATTTCCTCTGTCAAATAACTTTGTCGTCTAGAATCAGTCAATAAACGTTAAATTAGAAGTAGCTGCTTTTGACGATCTTGTCTGTGAATAAAAAGTATTTACAAGTCCACTTTTTACTTTTCTACTAGTTATGTAATTGGTGATTTAATTTAATTCAGATTTTTTTCTCTGGGACCGCCTAACTGCAACATGTCATGTGAGCTTAGAAACTTCCTACACTCTCTTCCTTTCCATATTTTTTCAGTTATCGTTCCCTTACTTTTGTTTTCTTCCAAATTATCCATACTGCTTGAAAGATAATTTTTTTTATCAGATACCAAATTTTGATGTCAAAAATTTCCTAACAATACATTATTTATAAACACGTGCTGTATATATTCGTATGTGTGTGTGTGTGTGTATTTATTGCATATTTTAACATTTGTTTTGCATATATGTACATATTGTATTTTTGTTTATTTTTTGTTTTTCGCAGAAAGCTGATCGCAGAAGTGTGCTAAGTTTTTATTATTATTATTGCTTTCGAATAGTATTTATTCTACCAAGTTTAGATTTATTCTTGAATTTAATTCCTAATGGGTCAGCTTTTTGCAGTTTGCATTGAATTTTACTCTTTTATAGAAAGCATGCAATCTTCCGCGATCCCTTTTCCTGCTACTGTTGATAATTCTTCCCCGTATCCCGCTAGTGCTCATTAATCTAAGCTCTCTCGCCTTAATATGTTTGTATTTTCTCATTATTCACGAGAATAGTCATTTTGAAGTAACGTAATCGATGAGTAAGATAGGAATATAGATACAGTATATATTCAGTTTTCAAATTAACTACTACTTAACCTTATTGGTCATGAGCTTGCAGTGTACTACTCATATTTTTTTGTTGATTTTAGACACAGTCCTATAACAGAAACTTTGGCATCGATCGAAATTCTTATGCTTACAAATGAATTGTTATTAATTCACACAGACTTTGTTTTGCAAATCGTAGGCTAAATAATTTTATATTAAAAATGTAATTGTACTAAAGTATTATGCTAAAACCATTCATTCCAACAAGTTAAATTTGCTTTTTGTTGATGTCAATTCAAAAATATTTAAAAGTACTCTACGCGCTGTTCCATTATTTGCCATTTCCTTTTGCTTGAATCTATATATTCTATATAGCACAAGTCGAGAACGTCCTTCACTGTCCACTATACTTGTATTGATTTCTATTCACGTTGACATTGATAAAATCATTATTGGTTGCCATTATGTTAATCACATTGTGAATGTTATGCTTGTACGCTTACATAAGATTGTTTCATATATTTGTGCACTAGAATACAGATCTTTTCTAAATATTTTCATGAAAATTCATGTTATGCTGGAGGAAGATTTGTTATTGAAGTGGATTTCAAACTAAATGATAATTTCTGGATTTGTATCTTCAGACCTAATACGATTGGGATTGCAATAAAGATTATCAGTTCATATCATGCAATTAGTTACGAAGTACTATTGATTGCTTCAGTCATCTGACTTAATAAATCTGTTGACTTTGCTGTAGGAAGTAAATGAAATATGTAAAGCAATCGTAGAATCTTTCATACCTGCCTTTATTGTATCATTGTATGACTACTGTCTCTTTTTTTAGCTGTCCTAATGATTGTAACAATTCCAGATGATTAAACAATTTTATCAGACGTAAAGGCATATGTTAAATACCATTTGTATATATAAAATAGTTTTTAAGTTTGATTGATTCTTGTATTATCTGTACTAATTTAATATTAGTTGTATTTCGATATGCCATTTCAATATTTTGCTTCCATTATTTGAAGTTTTCTACTCGTTTTATGCATTCAACTTGCACATATTTATTGAAGAAAGGAAATCGTTTTCCAATCTTTCATCTTTTATAATTTTTGTTACTTCGATATTTAGTACTTTCAGTCCTGCCGAATATAATATTCGAATACGTTTTCTATACCATTTTCTATTAAATAAACTCATCCTTTGCATTATGTTACTGTGTGGATTTATGAGAATTTCTTGGTGAAGAAAGCTGCATTTCTCTTTTTTTTTTTCTTCTAAAGAGAAGTTTATGAAGATAACGGTTTGTTTACACTTCACGTAACAAATCCTTTTGTATGAAATATTCAATGCATTTCAAGATTCTTTGAATGAGAAGAAACTTCGGGAATAATTTTGCCTATTATTATTAGCAGTGAGTTCCATTTATATGGTACTCCTTGATGTTTGATGTAGGAAAGAATCTTATCACGTCAAATGAACGGACACAAAGGTTTATAGTCTTATCGAAGATTATTAAATTCCATAAAGTAGATTGAACAATAGTTTCATTTTTCACTACAGCTCCGTTTAATTAGTCCTTAACCTTCTTAAAAGAGAATCTGATTTTGCAAATGAATTTACAAAAATGTTTTTGAATTTTCGACACGGTTCAAGCTTTTTATGCTATTTGTTCCTCAACATTTTTATTTTCGGCTTCTTTATTTTTTAGAATAATCTGGCTATATAGCTAAGAATTTTGCAAATTTTTAAAATGAGACACGAGAACACTGTTAGGTTTAATTCAGCAATGCTATTAATGTGGCATAGCTGACTTCTCTATCTACCAGGTATGATATCATTTCACATTTAGGCTTTTTAGTTAGTAGATTCGTAATAAACTGCATATTAGAAAAATCCGTTTTCTGATTTTATCAAAGGGTAAGATATTTTTGAAAAGACAAGTATTTTAATTCATTCTTGGCATTCATTTTGAACATCGTTTTTCATTCTTAGAATTTCTTTGAAATTTCTCATCACTTTGGCTGAATTCTTAAATTTTTTTAATAAGAATGCCTAATAATCGGAATTTTGACATCGAAATGGATGTCTGTATTTTTTCTCAAGAATGAATAAATGTATCAACAAAAAGCATTTCTTCTTTTTCCTATTTTAAAAAATTTTTATCTTCATTATTCTTTCCTATTTTTTAAAAAATTTTTTACCTTAATGTAGATGTGTCGGTGTTTTTTTAAGTAAACCTCTATAACTTGAGGAAAAAAACCCCTCTTGTAGTGATTGAATTCAATTCACAAAAGTATCAGAGGTGAAAAAAGAATATTTATTTGATGGCAAGGGTTGTATTCCAGTCAAATAATTGTTTTCAGTTACTTTTAATAATTATAAATCAGTACTTATCACTTCATAACTATATTCATCACTTTATAACCACTTATTGCTGTTAATCAGTTTAAAATTAGCTTAAACGAAAAAGCAGCTACTTAGGTTTATTGTAATTAATATTTCAACCAGAGTTGTAACTTTTCTATCTGAAAGAATGTGAAAATCCTTATGCAAAAACAACAAATAACAATATTTTTAACAATTAATGTTTAGTTTCGAAATTTTAAGTGAAAGATACTAAACTTTTTTGTAAGTTGTGATTAGTCGAATTTTTGTAATGTTTCATAACAATGTCATAATATTAACAACTTCTATTTAAATATTTTTCTGTTTAATTGTAAATTTTATTCAAATTTGCAAATTACTTCACCAAAATTGTATCAAACAACTGTTTCATTCACATAATGTTTTGATGTGTTAAATTGTGCACCATGGTTAGTTCTATATCAGCACTTTTGAAATTTCAGATATGCAAGCGTTAGTTCAACAAATTAAAGTGTATAATTTTTGGATTAAATGAAGATATATGATAGTGATATATTAATGTTCATTACATACACTATTTAAGAAGAATCTAGAATTATTTCCAGTGCACCCCTAACACTACTAACTTTATTACCAGCCTTGAATGATTGAATTTCAAATTGATTTAATTCACCAGTAAAATCAATAAAAATAAAAAGTAGGAAGAAGGAAATAATATTTGCAATTTCAGATTTTAGCAAATTATTCTAATACAAAGTGAAATTTGACGGATATCGCATTAAAAAGCAATATATATAATGAACGTTGAGATCAGTCATTATTAAAAATTCATAAAGAGATTCACTCCAAATTTATTTCTCATCGAAATCTTTTTGAGAGATATTTACGAGAATTTTGAAAAGCAATTGAATGCAAGCTTAGAAGAAAAATATTAGGAGCTCGTAAATAATAATTTCCAATAAATTTTGGAAATAAACAAGTTAGATGTCGCAGCAGGGCACTATAAAGAACTGGAAGAGAACAACTGAATTAAAAGTAGTTTAATCTAAAGTAAATTATGGCCAAATTTTTTGACAGTAAAAAATTTATTCTTTATAAGCCTTTTGGTTCTTACTATATCACCAGAATGACATATAAAAGTATGAAATGGCTACAAGATCGAAATTTGCTTACTTCCTTTTCCCAAACTTCGAATTCAACCGCTTTTACATTTAAGGAGGGCAATTTAATAGTGAATATTGTATCAATAACCTTTACATTTATCAGAAAAATATTATTCTGACAACATTTGACTTAACTTTATTGGAATGTGATTGGATTTGATAACGTACTATTTTTTCTTCTTAAGAAATTTTGATATGAAATCAGTTCTACTTTTATTCATTGCCAAATAATTGGAAAATTTTTGTGCATTTTGAAAGTTTTAAATTTCAAATTATTGGAATTTACATTTGAATCATTTATTTGACATTTATTTTTTAGTAATTCA